AAAGACAAAAAAGACGAGAGGCAGACAGCTTCGCTCCTCCCCTTCACTCAGACGACAGCTCCTCAACTCCCAACTTCGACGGTCGACTCCCTCACCTCCTTCCTTTCACTCCGACGTCCTTGACTCCGACGCCCGACGCCCGACTCTCTCTCTCTCTCTCTCTCTCTCTCTCCATCGCATTTGACGGACGACTCCTCCCCTTTATGCCAACGACAGGTCCTCCTGACGCCCTACTCTGTCCTCCCAAGTCCCGACTCCCTCTATTTCCATCCCATTGACGACGAGGTAATCTGGTGTATATATATATGTATCTTGCTGAAATTAGGGCAAAATCAGGGCAAAATTTCTCAATCTGAAAGACAGATTTTGTATCTTGCTGAAATTGACTATATAAGTTAGGCAAATTGTTGAAAGAGAAGAAATCAGATTTTATTAAAATTGAAACAAATTTGTTGAAATTTCTCAAATTGAAATTGAAATTTCAGATTTTTGCTGAGAGAAAAGAAATCATAGGCATAGGGAAAAATTCAATTATGTAAAATCTGAGATGCAAAGCCATAGGCAAAAATCTAGTTAATTTAAAACTAGATAGGTAAAATCTGAAATAGCCATAATTGAGAAATCAAATTTTACATCATGTATAGCCAATCTTTCTTCTCTTTCAGATTTTACCTATCAATCTTCCTATAAGTTTTCAATCTTCCTATTAACTACTGAGATGCAAAGCCATAGGCATAGCCATAAGAAGATTAAAAACTCAATTATGTAAAATATGATTTCTCAATAGTTTGGCTATACATGATAAATCACAATTATGTATCTCAATTTTAAATCTCAATTATGTATCATTGAGATACATAACTACGGAGATACAAAGCCATAGGCATAGCCATAGGAAGATTGAAAACTCAATTATGTAAAATCTGATTTCTCAATAGTTTGGCTATACATGATAAATCACAATTATGTATCTCAATTTTAAATCTCAATTATGTATCATTGAGATACATAACTACTGAGATGCAAAGCCATAGGCATAGCCATAGGAAGATTAAAAACTCAATTATGTAAAATCTGATTTCTCAATAGTTTGGCTATACATGATAAATCACAATTATGTATCTCAATTTTAAATCTCAATTATGTATCATTCAGATACATAACTACTGAAATGCAAAGCCATAGGCATAGCCATACTCTGTCTCAATTATGTGTCTCATTCAGTTATCATAATTGAGACACATATGTATCATTGGCAATTATACATTACTGATTAGTGCATAGCCATAGGAAGATTGAAAACTGATTAGACTGATTAGTGCATATTCACTGAACTTATAATTGATTAGTGCATATTCACTAAACTTATACATAACTGATTAGTGCATATTCACTGAACTTATACATAACTGATTAGTGCTCACTAAACTTATACATAACTGATTAGTGCATATTCACTGAACTTATAATTGATTAGTGCATATTCACTAAACTTATACATAACTGATTAGTGCATATTCACTGAACTTATAATTGATTAGTGCATATTCACTAAACTTATACATAACTGATTAGTGCATATTCACTGAACTTATAATTGATTAGTGCATATTCACTAAACTTATACATAACTGATTAGTGCATATTCACTGAACTTATAATTGATTAGTGCATATTCACTAAACTTATACATAACTGATTAGTGCATATTCACTGAACTTATAATTGATTAGTGCATATTCACTAAACTTATACATAACTGATTAGTGCATATTCACTGAACTTATAATTGATTAGTGCATATTCACTAAACTTATACATAACTGATTAGTGCATATTCACTGAACTTATAATTGATTAGTGCATATTCACTAAACTTATACATAACTGATTAGTGCATATTCACTGAACTTATAATTGATTAGTGCATATTCACTAAACTTATACATAACTGATTAGTGCATATTCACTGAACTTATAATTGATTAGTGCATATTCACTAAACTTATACATAACTGATTAGTGCATATTCACTGAACTTATAATTGATTAGTGCATATTCACTAAACTTATACATAACTGATTAGTGCATATTCACTGAACTTATAATTGATTAGTGCATATTCACTAAACTTATACATAACTGATTAGTGCATATTCACTGAACTTATAATTGATTAGTGCATATTCACTAAACTTATACATAACTGATTAGTGCATATTCACTGAACTTATACATAACTGATTAGTGCATATTCACTGAACTTATTGTCAACTTGAATGTAGAATAATTATGAGACTAAACATGAAATTGAGTATGGGAATTGAGCATGGCCTTTTGACATAGGAAGATTGAAAAAGTGGTGAATGTCCCTCTTAAATGCAGTCTTTACTCATTATACATCATGAGCTGAAATTATCTTTATTCACTAATTTAATGAGGATAACTTGTTATTGTAGATGTCAAGTTCAACTGTCAACGCCAGTAGCTCAGATCGGTTGATGTACTTCAACAAAAATTGTCCTACATGTAAGAAAAAGGCCACGATTCAAATTTCTAAGACCGATCGAAACAAAAACAAGTTATTCTACTCTTGTAATGGTTGTGGTATTTTCATTGGATGGTGTGCGCCTATATTCAAAAACATTTTTGAACGGGAAAATATAGCTCGATGACAATGGCGATCGAGAGGCAGAATGACTCCTGAACTCGACAGACAGCTCCCCCTCACTCGACGGATAGCTCTAACTCCCAACTCCGAAGGCCGACTCCCTCAGCTCCTTCCTTTCACTCCGATGTCCTTGACTGCGACGCCCGACGCCCGACGCACTCTCTCTCTCCCTCCCTTTCCATCTTATTCAACGGACCCCCTCCTCCCCTTCACGCCCCGACGACAGGTCTGACTCTGTCCACTCGAGTCCCGACTGCCTCTATTTCAATTTGTGTATAAATATATATATATATATATATATAAATGTATATATGTTGATTTTGCCCTAATTTTGCCAACTTCCGAAATTTCAGAAATTGTCATCCCCAAGTTGAGGTAATATATATGTTGTTGAAATTTCTGAAATTAACATATATATGTTGTTGATGCCCTAATTAGATTGTCAAAATAAACCATGAACTCAAAGACCAATCTTGCATAACCAATAAAGTGGGACTTAATAATAACCAATCTTGCAAATTCATACACAACATGTGTTACACATCTAACATGGGACTTAACATAATAAGTTTCAATCTCAAAAACAAAATGTCAATGCTCAATAAACTAGTCAAACACTTCTCCAATGTCCATCATTCATTTGCGCTGTGCAATGTCCATCATTCATTCCTGGTGTACATGCATTAGAACCCGATGGGGTTAGAGATCCAGACCCAAACATTTGATTTGGAACACTCATCAAACTTCTCGGTGTGCCGCTTACAAAGTCCGATGGGATAACAAATGTGCCTCCAATAGCATTTACGACCTATCAAAATTGAAGTAAAAAAATACATGTTACAAAATATTTATAAATGAAAACAAAAAATTGATGTAAAGTCGTCTTATGAACACATACCGGTGCATACACACTATTTTGTATGCCAACCATATAAGGATAATATGATGTATAAGCTTGAGCTTGCACTTGAGCTTGAGCTTCAGCTTCAAATTGAAGCACCTTAGCAGCCTATATTGGTTCAAGAGTTTGTAAAAATATACTTCAAAAGAGTTTGTTAAAAAAATAAAAAACAAGTTTAATTCAATATACAAGTTCAATTCAATATACAATTTACCTTTGCTTTTGTTTGTTTTTTTGCCGTTGCCTTGAACCGATTCACTATTTGATCCACTTTGGCAACCTTTCGTTTCGTAACTGGACGGCCTCTTCGCCGAACAACCAAAGGACTAACCACCTTCCTCGTACTAGCACCCGATGTACAACCGGTGGCAATTGGACTTTTTCTAGATGATGGTATCCTATTAGTAGAAGGTGGCAAATTACTCCCATCACCCGATTCATCGTACATGACTCTATCCTTCATTTCATCCAACCCAAGGTCTATAATTTTAATTTTCCCTTCCGAACTACCAGCAAGTTGTACAATGGCGATCAATTTCTTGTTCATCCTCTCATAGCAACTTGTATTGAAATCATCCCCAAAGCCAGTGTACGTGGTTTTGATGCACGTATACTCTTGAACCAAATCTTTCCTCCAACGTGGCAAAATGTACTTACTTGGCACCTCATTTATGCATCTTCTCACAAGCACCGCGAGTGAGTGAGCACACATAATGCCTCTAAATTGAAACAACCGACACATACATTGAACTTCACATTCAATTGAATTAAAATACACAACAAAGTCCACATGCTTCATCTTGTCACAAACTACCATC